CATCCATCCCCTTCGGATCAGAATCAGAATAACCCCGGGTCCCCCTCCCGAAGACCCGGGCACCGCCCCCCCAGCAACAGCTTCGCCAACGAAACCCCATTTGGGCCAAGGGGCCCTCCCATGTCAGATGCTGCTGACTCTCCAGAGAACCAAATGAGCAGCTGAGCAGCCACAGTATCAGTAGCACAGCATCGGAACCAAGCACGAAAGAAAACAGTTTGACACCCGCCCACCCGCCCCCTGCGGTGTCACCCACCACAGAATCGAAGGCATCCGGGCATGCGCCTGTCTCGGTCCGCGCGCGCGCGCCGCCCACTCGGCCCTGCGGGGAGGAGAATGGAAGGGGCACGCAAGCCAAACCTCTGCTGTTCCCTGTGCTGTGCATAGAGCACCGCAGCGGTGAGACACTGACAGAAACTCTGATCGACCCTACAACGCTGTAGTTCGTCTGTCTCTTCTGGGAAGACTTCCAACAGCGTCTCGCTCGGAATATAGGGTAGCAGCCGACTCCACTAAAAGCCCCGGTCAAGTGACGGGCGATATATGCAGCAACCGGCCCTCCCACGACCATCACGCTCGTCCGATTTGATGCAGTATCCGCTCCTGCCAAATCGCTAAACGGCCGATTGGTCGTGGCAGTGTCGCACGAACCCTACTGTCGATGGCCGACTCTGGGGGGGGGGGTTGGAGGAGAGGTACATGGAGAGGGACGCCGCGACCCGCTGGCATGTCACAGCCCATTCCAGGGACGACGCGCGCGCCGATCGGGGCGCGGGTTTCCCTTGTCTTGTCTCTGGGCCCAAGGGATGGGGATTTCTCCTTGTGTATGGGTCTCCTTGTGTATGGGTCTACTCACGCAAAAGACGCGTCCGATGCTAGACTCGCGGTAAATATGGATATTTCAATATGAACATACATGCCCTTCTGCGGATGGGTGGCTCACACCATCGACCGATCGCGATCGAGTCGGCCTCATTGACCCCGACACGAGCCAGATGATCCGCTGTTCCGCGAGATACGGTTCTGACTGCTGTACGGATTCCAAGAAGCGGTTCGAAGGGTTTAGGGTGGTGGGAGACAGCTCGTTGAGCGTTCACTCATCGCAGTGTCCTTTTTACACTCCTCATTGGTCATTCGGGGATGGCCCAACTTGCATCTACCAGACAACAGAAACGCGGTGCACGACACAAAAATCACAGACACGATCAGGCCAATGCGCTTAAAATTTGATTGCATACACCTTTCTTTGGTACACTCCCGCCAGTCTCCTCACGCGTCGAGACTGTCAGGACCAAAAACATCATGCTCGCTGCCGATGCGCAAGCGATGCCGCCACCTCTGGGGACCCTTGTACCTCGAAGCTCATTTTTTTTCGATCGAGGCAGTAGTAAAGTGACGCCATAAATGAAAAGACTCAATATGACTTCTTTTTTATCTTTCCTTGATATTACACAATGGGCCCGCCGGGTCTCTCACGCGGCGGCCCGAAGCCTCCGTAGACAAAGGAAGAGGCTTCGTGGTGTCGAGGAGGTTAATTTCCTGAACCTGAGCTGATGTACACATCTAGCCCATGATCATGCCCTTCATGCCCGAAAGGTCACCCTCCTTGGCGGCGATCTCG